TCCTAAAACATCAAACAGAATTCCAGTTGCACGTTTCATTCATTGAGGTTTGTCCAGGCATTTCTTTCCTTATTCTTGGAATTTTTAAGATATGCCATCTATAATTCACTTTAGTGCTGACTCTACATTAGTTTAGTTTCGTAATGCTATCGGTAAGCCATTAGTAGTTTAATTGAGGTCTCTAAATTTTTGTCATCGGGTTTTCATTAATGAAGCATTGCCAGTAGCCTCCTTATTCTATGAACCACTTTTCAGAAAAGTACTTTGCAGCGTAGTTTGGAGAATTGCATATCTACTGGTAATCTAAATATTTGACTTCTATCTAACTGAAATTTTTTTATCTGGAAGATTCTGAAAGAAGAAGTGCGGGATTTGCTGGATCCTACTTCTTCAGTCAAAGCAGATTCTCCAAGTGGGAATACAGGGAAAGTAACTGTGCCTGGAAAACCACCCATACAGATACGTGAATCATCAAATGGAGTTATTACTCTGGCAGGTTCTACTGAGATTAGTGTCAGTACACTGAAAGAAATGGCTGCCTGCCTTGAACAAGGATCATTGAGTAGGGCAACAGGGAGTACAAATATGAACAATCAATCAAGGTTAGTAAGACATGCTATTTTCTTCTTAAATTGTAAGTTGTCATTTCATCTATACTGCAGAATAGATGCTACTAATGATATTATCTTATTTAGCGAAAAAAAAATAATGATATCATCTTGCCATATTGAAAAGGCCTAGGTCTTCAGTTTTTTGTAGAATATACATTATGAGGCAAGATCTAGGTTTGAACATGTGATAAAAATAAATTTTGCTTCTAAGTTTCAACCACACACACACACACAACATTTCTATCTTCTGAAAATCTGTTGATGTTTACTATTTTCTGTGTAGTAGATATTATAATTTATTATATCCTCTTGGTTTACCAACCTTGGTTTGAACTGTTGCAATTAAATGAATTGTTTAGTTAAAACATAAGGAGTGACTGCTTGCTGTAGTGATGTTTGTTAATTTCTGGTATGTCCATATAGTCGCTCACATGCGATCTTCACCATCACCTTAGAGCAAATGCGGAAACTCAATCCAGTTGTTTCGGGAGATTGCAGTCCTACTGAAACTATGAATGAAGATTATCTCTGTGCCAAGTTGCATTTGGTAGATCTTGCTGGGTCTGAACGAGCAAAACGAACAGGTTCTGATGGTTTGCGTTTTAAGGAAGGTCAGTAACATTGCTTATCCTTATGGTGTTAAAGCATGCATTAATGTGATGGATAGATGACTGAATGGTTTCAGTTGTCAAACAGGGGTTCATATCAATAAGGGACTTCTTGCACTTGGTAATGTTATCAGTGCGCTTGGTGATGAGAAAAAGCGCAAAGAATGTGTTCATGTTCCATATCGAGATAGTAAACTTACACGACTTTTGCAGGTATGACTAGTTTGCAAAGTCCTTTACACCCATGTCATGGCAGGCATCTCACTAATTTCCTCTTATAGCATAGAACAATAATCATTTACTTTGTTCTAAAACAATTCAAATCATTTCATTTGACTACTACTTGATAAAATCATCACATCTATCATTGATTTGTCCCCTGCACTTAGTTATTTGAGTTTGATTGGCAGGATTTAATATTTCCATGTTTAGAGTAAATTGGTTATGATAAATGAAGAGGATGGATTAGAAACACTATAAAATGGTTTAAGGAACTAGATTTCTTCATCTTTTGATTTTAATATTCTTTTAATCTCAAATTGTTTATTTGTTTTTATTTGTTATATTAGATGCCTAAACTATGATCATCTTGGCAGGATTCACTTGGTGGTAACAGCAGAACTGTTATGATAGGTAAGTTGTGTTTTCTGTTTGTTCCTTACTGTCTCAATACATGATAGTTAGGACTATCTTCCACAGGATTACTCTTATGTTGTCCTTAAATCTTATCCTGAATTTCTCAAAAGTATAATTTCCACTTCCTTTGGTTGCCCCTTAACAACATTGCCTCTGCATGCTGACTTTTTCACTGGGTCAGAAATATGCATGTTTCATGGGAATACTTATAAAGCATTTCTCAGATTTTTCTTGCATTCTGCATGTGGTACAATTGTGGTATGAAATGTTTATTTTATTTAGTGCGTTCCATCTGTTACATAACTTGATTTCCTGTTCCCTCTCGGCTACTTTGTTTCCTTAGTTTTGCCCATAGATATTAATTTTTAATTGTTATTTGATTTGTTTCATGTGTTTCTTTAACCAGCCTGCATTAGTCCAGCTGATATCAATGCTGAGGAAACTCTTAACACTTTAAAGTATGCAAATCGCGCCCGCAATATCCAAAACAAACCTGTTGTAAGTAGATATTAATAACTCTTCTTTCCGTTTTTTCCTTTTCTTTTTAACAATTGCATATGGGGAATAATTTTTCTGTTTCTAAGAGCTAATTCTCTGTATTTATAGGTTAACCGTGATCCTATTACCAATGAGATGCTGAAGATGCGTCAACAGCTAGAGTATTTGCAGGCAGAACTTTGTGCCCGTGGGGGGTCTGATGAAGTGCAGGTATCCAGCTTCTTTAGACTCTCAAATAAATTTAATGATTCCTTTACAATTTTATTGGTGATAATTTTTTTTGCACTCATAAATTAACATTCAGAAGCTTTCTCTGTTGCTTTGGCTTTAACAAGTCTTGAAGAGGTTTTTTAGGGGAATAACTTATATCAGATTTATAAGTTTTCTAAAGAAGGTGATTGTGTAGGTCCTCAAGGAAAGAATTGCTTGGCTTGAAGCTGCTAATGAGGATCTCTGCCGGGAACTTCATGAGTACCGCAATGGATGCACCATTGTAGAGCAACATGAGATAGATGGACAAGTATGTATTTTATACAATTCTCAAGATTCTAATGCTTAATTCCATTTATGTATTTGGTTAATATAAACCAATTTGAAATGCCATATTTCAGGATGGCAGTCCTTGTTCTGTCAAAAGTGATGGACTGAAGAGGAGCTTGCAGAGCATAGAATCACCTGATTATAATATGAGTGAAACTGTAATAGGTATAGACTCCCTGCTACATGCTTTGTACCCTTATTCTGCATGTTAATACCTGGTCTTCACTTCATTTTTGGTTGCAAGCCTGTTCACCTTTCTTCCATTTTCTTCCTTATTTATATGTTTTGTAAAACATGGTTCCTGGTTTGCTTAGGTGAAACTGATTTAGTTTGAATGATGGCAATTGAAGCAGGTGATACCAGGGAAATTGACGATGATGAAACCAAAGAGTGGGAGCACACACTTCTGCAAAATAGTATGGATAAAGAGTTGCATGAGTTGAATAGACGTTTAGAGGAGAAAGAGGTATATTTTACGTGCTTCAATGCCCTGCATATATGATAATTTCATCAGCTATTATTATTATTATTATTATTTTGGAGTCTTTCTTCATATGCTTAAGGATGGCCAAATTGTATCCTCTGCAGCTTCTGCCCTAGCACCCCAGATTTTGCTAACATTTTGTTTTAGGAGCACTTACTCTTCACATTTTACATTCCTGTACTTTCTTTTTCATGCTTGTATTTTCTGTTTGAGCTATGGAGCAGTCTGAGATGAAGCTTTTTGGAGGTGACAATACTGTTGCGCTCAAGCAACATTTTGGAAAGAAAATTCAGGAGTTGGAAGATGAGAAAAGAGCTGTACAGGCAAGTTTCTTTAATTTTTTGACAACTTTGATCCTCAAAGAGGTTATGTTTCATTAGCTGATCTGTTTCCTTGATGCAGCAAGAAAGAGATCGTTTATTGGCTGAAGTTGAAAACCTTGCTGCTAATTCTGATGGGCAAACGCAAAAGTTACAAGATATCCATTCTCATAAACTAAAATCACTTGAAGCACAGGTGATTATAGCTTTTATTTGAAGTTCCTCCTCTTACTGTGTTGAAGAGCAGGGATGATCTGAAAACAATTATTGAACCTATTTGGACCAGATTTTGGATCTTAAGAAAAAACAAGAGAATCAGGTTCAGCTTTTGAAGCAGAAACAGAAGAGTGATGAAGCAGCAAAAAAATTACAAGAGGAAATTCAATTTATAAAGGCACAAAAGGTAATATTTAGTTCTCTATTCTCATTTCTCCCATTATTTCTATGTGCTGCTAAATACCCATTTCCTATTTTGATTTCTTCCCTTTTGATTCTGAGGTTTTAGGTTCAACTGCAACATAAAATAAAACAAGAGGCAGAGCAGTTTCGACAGTGGAAAGCCTCACAAGAAAAGGAACTGTTACAGGTGCTTTCTCGACCAAGAGTAGTTTTTTATTGGACAGAGTAATCTCTTGTTATATACTTACCTGACCTGTGTTGATCATACATGTGCACAAGCAGTTGCGGAAGGAAGGCAGGAGAAACGAGTATGAAAGGCATAAGCTGCAAGCTTTAAATCAGCGCCAGAAAATGGTAATCACATCTATGCATTTTGCACCATTCCTTAATTTAGTTTAAATAACTAAGCTAATTTTAGTGAAGAATAAATTGCTGCATTGATAACATAGATCTCTATGTCATTTCAGATTATTTATAATTTACATTAGGTATGCTGCTCTTTGAAACTAGGCTTTTATCACAACCAAGTTTGCTACTTTCATTAGATTCATGTCCATTATATTTTTTTGCCCATTTTCTGGTATATGGCCTTTTTAGTCTTCCTTTCTTTCTCCATGTGACCCTAGAGTACTTGGTGAAAAGGGACAGGGTTAAAAACCTAAAAGGATGTAATTATGGATGTTACTTAATTGTTAGTTGAGGAATAATATTCAACTGTTCTCTCTTGCAGGTTCTCCAAAGAAAGACAGAGGAGGCTGCAATGGCAACCAAGAGGCTAAAAGAGTTGCTTGAAGCACGTAAATCTTCTGCCCGTGATAACCCGGGTAGATTTACATTTTAGTTTTTTATTTTTATCATGCTCAAGGCTGTTAAACTTTCTTGAAAATACTAATTTCATAACTAAGGCATTGAAAATTTGACAATGTAGAGAATATCTTTACAGGCTATTATTCTTTATGGGATACATGAGGTGTTCACATACCAGTTGATCCTTTTTTGTACAAAAAATTATTATCTAATAGTTGTTTTTCTTTCCCAGCTATTTCAAATGGAAATGGAATGAATGGGCAGGTAGTGTTCTTATTTTATTTCTCAACTTAGCTCCCATTTGTTTCAAATGTATTTAAGTTTTTAACACAATTTGCATCTACAGACCAATGAGAAAGCATTACAACGTTGGCTGGATCATGAGCTAGAAGTCATGGTGAATGTGCATGAAGTTCGTTTTGAATATGAGAAGCAAAGCCAAGTGTATGTTCAAGAATTTTTTTTGCTTATGAACTCTTATTCTAGGTCAACATTTCTAATACTCTTTTTGACCAATCATGCAAAAATCTCCAGGCGAGCTGCACTAGCAGAAGAGTTGGCCGTGCTGAAGCAAGTAGATGAGTTTACTTCAAAGGGACTAAGCCCTCCAAGAGGAAAGAATGGATTTGCTAGGTATCTACAGTCCAAAGCTATGCTACCTTGTTATTTCAAATTTCTCTTCCCCTTCTTTGCCTTGATTCTGAGGTCTGAGATCAGTAAAAAAAGGGTATCATATAATGAATTGGATATATGTTGAAGATACCATACATAATAGGTATACACCCATTTTTCCCCTCACATCGTTATAGACTGCAACAGGTAGATCCAACATGAGTTCAAGGAGAGGGGAATATGTTTCCATAGCCACATAACTTTCTCTTTAATATAAATCAAAACTATCTTAAGAATTTGTTAATGTGTTTAACTTTTTGCTCCAGGGCATCATCCATGTCACCAAATGCAAGAATGGCTAGGATATCTTCACTTGAGAATATGCTTAGCATATCATCTAATTCACTTGTAGCAATGGCTTCACAACTCTCAGAGGCAGAAGAGCGGGAGCGTGCATTCACTAATCGTGGACGTTGGAATCAATTACGCTCGATGGGGGATGCAAAGAATTTGCTTCAATATATGTTCAATTCTCTTGCAGATGCAAGGTACTTTCTCTGGTCTAGTAATGTTCAAAGTGATGTCATCTTCAGGAACTTATTCTGATTTTCATATTAATATGAATTGAAAGTTAATATGGCCAAAAAAATGGCCAAAAAAATGAATTGAAAGTTAATTGGAAAAGAAATCCTTGAGACTGCAAAATTAGAGACCTGAACAGGCCACAAAAAATGTTATATTTCTGAAGTGGCTGCTTATATAAAAGGTTGCAAATCCTTTTTTACATTTTACAAAGATAATATAATCTATCATTTCAATCATGCTGTTTGCTGGAGTTTATTTATCCCGTAAACATTCTAAGTGGCTGTGCATGACTTGTCAATAGGTGCCAGTCGTGGGAGAAAGACATTGAAATAAAGGAAATGAAAGAGCAGCTTAAAGAACTTGTAGGTCTGTTGCGACAGAGTGAGTTGCGAAGAAAAGAAGTTGAGAAGGAGCTGAAACTGAGAGAGCAAGCTGTTGCAATTGCATTGGCTACTTCAGCTTCAGTGAGTTCATGTCAATTTATTTGGGTTTTCATCCAAGGCAGAAAACAGAAAATGTTAAAATAATTAAAAAGTAAATTAATTTAATATAAAGTTGTTCCAGCTAGTTACATAAATGGGGCTAAATTTGGATTCTGGTCTACGTGTTCATAGTTGGAGTAAGGGTTTTCTGAATCACCGTTTCATAAATTTTATTACTATCACTACGTCTTATACCATTTACTTGTTAACTCCTCAGGGTGCACATGAACAAGAGAACTCACCCCATTCATTGAAACATTCTGCTGATGACTTGAGTGGTCCGTTGTCTCCAATGCCTGTGCCAGCACAGAAACAGCTGAAATATAGCCCAGGCATTGCTAATGGTACAATCAGAGAGTCAGCAGCATTCATAGATCAAACACGAAAGGTAAATTTCATTTTAAATCTTGATTAAAGTGCTGGGATCTGCCTTCAGTGGTTTGCTAGGAAAGCTAAATTTTCTATTTGTGCAGATGGTACCACTTGGGCAGTTGCCAATGAGAAAATTAGCAGCTATTGGACAAGCTGGAAATGGAAAACTATGGAGGTGGAAGAGAAGCCATCACCAGTGGCTTGTACAATTCAAATGGAAGTGGCAAAAACCATGGAGACTGTCAGAATGGATTAGGCACAGTGATGAAACATTAATGAGGACAAGGCCTCGGCCCCAGGCTCTTCTACCTAAGATAGTTTGATATTTCATGGTTGCCAGTTTATGCCAGATATATCAATCTTTGACCTACAACTATGTTCTCACTCCAGTGTGCAGGGAATAGCCTAGAAATGGATGAAGGTATTTTTTTCTGCTCCTCTCTCTTCATTTACATTGCTCCCATATCATCTATGGTTGAAACATCTACATTTTTGCTCTTATTGGTGCAGTGTTTTGGAGGTGGCTGTTGAAATTCTGCCTTAAAGATATAGCTATAGATTGGAATTTTTTTATTTTTACATTCCTACGTTTGTAATCTTCAAATTTTTTGATATGGCTACTGCATTCGGAGCATCATGTAAAGAGATGTTGATGCTGCCAGTGGTTTCTGCAAATACTCTCTCAACAAGACGCCCAGAGGCATCAGATGGTTTGGTCTGTGATGCATTGGTAAATATCCCACCCTGCTGGGGCCATCTCTTAAGGTTTTGGTTTCCTTCCCAACAATAACAAAGCTTGCAGAGAATAAAGTTTCTCCCTAGCAGTAGAAATTTGTATTAAAGCTACAGTCTAGTGATATCTACTACTTCATTTTACCCCAATTTGTAATCTTTGGGCTCCTTTGTCTCAGTATTGTATTGAGTGTAAGTACATTGTTAAGATTTTTTTGTTGAAAGTTTGAATTGTGTAGTATTTCAAGCATTATTATACAAGAAAGCAAAGATTTTTATGCATCTCCTCTCTTTGCTTCCCATACCCCGGATGTTCTTGGGGTAACTGCAGCTCGCTCATACAAAACCAACATAGCACACCGTGGGATGGTAAAACAACTTCAAAAGAATTTACAATGCAAGCATAAGTGCTTATAACATAAACATTTCCAGTGCTAAAGTCGGGATAAAAAATCAGAAATTACATCAGCATTGAACCAATGAAACATATACAATCCTTTGACACATCACTGTTCACCTGAACAGATCATCTTCAATTTTTGTAATACAAAAACTCAAGTTGGCAAAGGTGTAAAATACGCTTATTCTAAACAACACTTAGAATGGGGAAAGATTTTCTTCAAACTGACGCAAGATTTCTTTGTATATTTGGCATTCAAAATTTGCTAGCTGCCTTGACCCTATTGGCTTCAGTAACAGCAACATGTGCTAGAATAGAAAGCACAACAGTCAAATGCTGTGTACGTAGAGCTCAGGTGAGCAAGCATTTTGATTTTCCATTGATGCCATGAATTAACATGTTACATATTGCTACACCAGTATGCATAATGCTCATCTTTGCGATGGTTACTGACTAGGCCCCCGCACTTTAAACAGATAAAGCTGCTCCCATCAGAGAATGCATCTAGCACAATTTGTGTCCTGCCTGTTTCAGCGAGTATAGAAGTTCCATGAGGATCTGATACAATTGATGGACCACCAGGGTTGGATTGTAATGATTCAGATTTTGAAGGCTCAGCTTCAGCTATTGCACACTCAGCAAACAATGCAGCCAAATCATCAACTGCAGTTCTTTCTTGCATTCTACTTCTGTAGAGTTCACGAGCACGATGCAGGGACTGAAATACAGCATCATCCCCACCACCAGTTCTTGTTGCCATAATCACCTATCTCAAACAAAGACAAGCAATGAAGAAGAGCAAGATATAAAGATGTGGAAGTTACTAGTTCTCATCATTTTGTCAATGTGAAGTTACTTATCAAGGTTTCCAGAGTTCAAAATGGTATAAAAATACCTCCAACTACAGGTGTTATTGACAGAACCTGTGCCCTAGACTTAGTAAGTACAACCTAAAATGACAAAATCATGATTAAACACTGCCAAAAGTCATGCATGAAATCATCCAATTAGGTAACAGTACTTAATAAGTGCAACTGTAGATAGAATTAAATGCTGAAATATAATTTCTCTAGTTGTAGCTAATATATTTAATGTAATGTATGCCATGTTCTGTAATTATCTGGTGCTAGAAAGGGAACCGGCCATGAAAACTAATGTATCCAAAACAAAAGGGGGAAAGGATTACTAACAAATCAAAATGAGAAGAAATCAAAATCTCAGTATCCAAAGAAGATTTTCAATCACATCTTCTTGTTCTCTCAAACTCAAGAAATGTCTTCACATGAGAAAAGTATAAAATGCAGCAGCCTCCATACGGGGAGGATTAGTCATTTGGTATAAATAACATAAAAAATACAATCCCCATAATTGTTAGAAGCACAAGCACTCAAAACTGCATGAGGCTATTTACAGCCTAGTGCGAGGTTCATGCGCATTTCTAATGGACGTTAGTCGCACATTTACTACTCCCGTTTTGTTGCATCAAACAAGAGAAGGCTAAAGAAATGTCTAAATTCCAAATGCTACCATCAACTTAATCATCCTCATGATCAAGTGGAAAATTATCAACTTCATTAGTTTTGTCATAAAGACATTTTACTCTTCAAATTAACAGCTCTAGATAGTAGAAATAAATGCAGTTTGCCTTTGCACTCCTAATTTTGTCTTTTTATTCTGTTTTCTTTTCCTTTATAAACATTTGGATTGTATACCATTTACTATTCCATGCTAAGACTATCATACACAAATACAATTATACAATGTTTAATCATACAACAAAAAGGGAAAAAAAAGAAAAAAAAAAAGAAAAAAAGAACTTGGGCATACTCTTATGGCACAAGATTCTTAACAAGAGTGCACTTAAGCATGGAGCTGCGTCACGCGCTTCATTGCAGCTGCATCACGCGCTTTTAACTACTATGGTAATACCCTTCTCAATCAAGGAAGTTGATATCAATGTAACTGATGTTAAATTTATTCTATACACTCAATAACTAATACAATCTCTTTTTAAAACCTTAAAATCTTCCAAAATTTACCATGTTACTAACCCAAATATTCAAAACAATGTTTTTCCCTTTTTTTGATTCTTTCTAAACCTAGTTTTAATTTTGCATGATCTGTTAGATTCTTACTAAAGAACAAAGCACACATCACACAACTATATATGTACATTGTATCTGACAGAAACAACACAACTCCCAAACACCTTGGCTGTTGACACACTTATTAGGTGCTAAAAGATCCTGAATTTGCCTGTTTATAGCCAAAATTTTCTTCTCTGCCAATCCTAACATTCCAATAAAATCTTCATAATTTTTCATTTTTCCTGGAGAAGGATCCAATTCCAAACAACCCACAATAAAATCCAAGTTATAAGCAAGATTAAGCTTTAGAAGATTAAATAAGTTAAAAATCAAAGCCGAGTTAACATCTAACATCAAATCTGAGCCATTTCAAACACCGCAGATGCCACCAGTAAGCAAACTCTAGCAACAAACAATCAAACCGATAATCTAAATTATTCAACAAGAAAATGAGGATGGAGAAAATTTTTCAAAAAATAAAAATAAAAATTACCGCTTGGAGTGCCTGAGAGGGTTTGCCTTGACTGATGAGTTGACGAGCCATTGAGAGCAGGTCTCTCGCTACGTCGTTTTGCTCCGGCTGCTGCTGCTGTACGGCTGCCTCTGTTTCCATCATTTCAGTGTCCGTACCGTCCATAACACCCGCTTCTCCGCCGTTTCCTTCCCCAGCGATCAATGTATGTTCCTCCCCGATTTTTTAACCAAAAAAGGCTTGATGAAAACAAAAAGCTGATGGTAAATAGCTGAGGAAGATTTGTCCAGTTACTCCCATGACTAATCGACTAGTCCTTTAGCCAGATGGTTCTAGTAAATTCCCTCCTACTGCCAACGCCCATTACCTGCCCTACCCAAAGGGCCTCATACTTGGACTTCTCTGGATAGAGTTTGGGCTTTTGCTTTGAAGACTTGGTGGACTGATTATTTGGACCCCTTTGATATGGGCAATCTTGACCGACACAGCTTTACCTGACATTTTTAAATATATAATTATATATTTTTTTTTAATTTTGGATTACACAAGGGCAATCAACTCCCTCCTTTTTTTTTTTCTGAAAATAGGCAATGGAATCAACTCTCTCTTATTCTTTTATCCAACTCCACCTTATACCACTTGGAGGGATTACCATTAGGACACATAAGCTGTGAGATCAGTTAATTGAGCACAAGTTATAATAGAATTAGCTGTTTAAATGTAGTTAATAATTGATATCCAAATATTGATAAAGAAACATTATTGAGTTTCTCAATTTCTAAGGTTGTTTATAATATATATTTATTAGTTGGATTAAAATCAACAATTAATAATGGTTGTCTAACCACTAAAAAGAAACATGCTATTGATATCAAGTAGTGGATGGGTTAGATCTGACAGCCAAAAATGTGAGGCATGCCTTGAAATCATGTTAAAGCCTTTTTAATTGGCAGCAAGATTATGGAACTAGTCATGAATGTTCATAAATCTAGTATCATACCAGAAAATCCAGTCTTTAAAAGCTCATCAATGTGCTTTAGTGATGTCATGTGTATTGGACTTTCTCTAGAATTACCAAGTTATCCTTTTGTACTCTATAAATGTAAAGGAGCTTTTTTAGGGAAAACAAGGGATGAGAGTTAGATACCAACCACCATAAGAGTAAACAAGGTGGCTCTTTTAAGATTAAAGGGGTTTTCTTGGGTAGAGTGAGTTTAGGCATACTGGGGGCTCTTACTGGAGTGTAGTTTGAGTGATTTAAACTATTCAAAAATCTCTTGTAAAGCATTGATTTCATGGTAGATTTGATGTTCTCCTTTTCTCGTGGATGTAGTTATCACATATTGTGGTAGTGAATCATGTAAATTCTATATTTGCTTTCCTTTCTGCTCTTAGATTTCTTCTTCATTGTTTTTGCTGCGCATCATGATTTCACTCACAAAAAATAATTGTGAAACTGACAGAATTTTAGTTTCTTTGAGCTTCTCAGCCTCTGCAGTGAGAAAGAAAAGTTAAACATTTCGGAGGGGTCGTTGTTACATTTGCATCAATATGCAACCCCAGCATCATAAAGTTCCTGTAAATTTGGCAGAGAAAAGGTGTGGACATGACATCAATGATAACGTAACATCATGGAATTTCCTATCATCCAGCAGTATATAAAATCTCTCAAAAAACCTGTAGAAGTTAAACACCTACAACAACATTTACTAAATTCATTCAGGACATCCCAGGCTGTGGGTCCAATTCACCATTCTGAGTTAATTCAGCTCCTTTAATCTCCTGTAACATCTTCAATACTTGCCACATTGTGGGCCTCTGTTCAGCAGAGTTCAAACTACAAGCAATTGCCAACTCAACAAGCATCTCCAGCCTCCCTCCTTCCCCTTCCCTTTCCCATCCCTCGTTTTCCCGACTGGACTTCACCAAATTGACCGCCTCCTCTGGTGCCGAAAATGGGTGTTGCGAAGGAGGTCTTCCAGTCAAAAGCTCTAGCAATAGAATCCCGAATGCATAAACATCACCCTTAGACGTTGCCTGGCCATTTGAAATGCGAGTTTCAGGGGCTTTGTAAGCGGCGGCGGTGGTGTCGTCTTCGTGTGGGAAAGAGGTAAGGGCTGTGAGGCAGTAGTCGGCAATGCAGGCTTCGAAATCGGGGCCGATGAGGACGTTGGAAGACTTGAGGTTGCCATGGACGAGCCTCCATGCTTGGTGGATGTAAGCCAGGCCCTGTGCTACGTCCTCTGCAATTTTCAAACACGAGGTCCAGTGCAATGGCTTTGCCCTCGTGGATTTTGAACCTGCAAGAGCGGTAAGTTCAAAAAAATTAAAATTAAAATTAAAAATAAATGGACAATTTAATCCGAACCAAATCATAAATCGCATGGACCCTAGGCCCTAACGCTCTCTGTCTGAGTTTTGGAAGTAGGCCCACGAGTCCTATGGTGGAGCCCACATATAACACCGTGAATTCCAGCAGACGAACATGTTCACGCGATTTTAAATGCGCGTGATATAACTACCACATTTTAGACCGAAGGAAGGGTCCTGTATTATCCAGTTGACGGTCGAGATAAACAAATCTATCTGCTCACAGGTTAGAATCCCAAAAATTAAGATTGCGTGCTTCCCACGCTCCACACTTGAGATTCGGGAAACCAACATGGTCAAATCATGAGAAAATGTGCAGATTCCCGACGTGGTCAGCAACTAGATTCTCGCTGTTAGTAGAAAACAAGGATACCGTTCTAATCCTACTTACCCGCTAATTGGGGGAATTTTTTTTTTTCAGTACATGTGTGTGCGAGGGAAGAATAGCCCTCCCTAAATACAGCTCCTTTTCTTTGATAATTCCACTCTCATTCTTAAATTTAAAATCTTTAACTTTAAATCTTAAAATTTCAATTAATTGGGTTATTTTTAGTATTATTAAAACGAACTGAGTTACAGGGAATCGGAGAGACGAGTTAACTCATTGAAACTGAACATGGAGATTGGGAACTGGATGACTTACCGTGAATGAGGGAGAAGAGACTGCCATTGGGCTCGTAATCGTAGATGAGAAGCCTTTCATCCTGAGCCTGGAAATAAGCTCTGAGTGGGACCAAATTGGGATGTCTGAGTCCACCTACCGATTCCATGTGCTGCTCGAACATCTCCTTTGTTGAGCCGGCTAATTTTCCGGCGTCTAGTCGCTTCACCGTCACGACCAGACGATTGTCCAGCACTGCCTTGTATGTGGTCCCCATGGTGCCTCTCCCTAGTAACTCTGCCGACGCTCTCATCAGCTGGTCCAGTGTGTAGAGCTGCGCCTCACCAGCACAGAATGTCAGGTTCCCACTCTTTGCTACCTGCATTCCCTGCACTCTTTTCACCTTCTCTTCCAATTCGTTCTCTTGCTCCATCTGAATCGCCGCAGCAGCTTCCGCCGTCGCCGCCGCCTCGCGTTCTATTATGGGTATGGTGGTCTGTTCCTTATCGTTTCTCTTTTTTCTCACAGCCACGACAAAACAGAGAAGGGAGCCAATAAGGAAAAAAACCCCAGTTGAGAACCCGATGATCACTGCAGTTCTCTTGTGTTGCTTTGGAGTGGATTGGTCCAACTCGACGCCATGCACTTCCTCACTCTGCCCCAGCGCTTCGGTCGGCGATGGTGGCTCCACTGCAGCCGTGGGAACAAAAAAGTGGGGCCTTGGGTGGCATTCTTTGTGAATTATCTCCCCGCAGAGACCTGGGTTTAACGAAAACAAAGCGAACCCAAATCGGAGCAACGTAGCGGTCACCGGTATTGCGCCAGTGAGATTGTTGCTTGAAACATTAAAGGTTTTGAGGGAGGACTGATTCAACGGAGGAACCGTTCCGTTGAACCAATTCGAATCCAAGCGAAGATAGTATAACCGATCAAGAGATTTCAACGAGTTGGGTAATGGGCCGGTGAGATTATTGTGAGATAAATCAAGCGTTCTTAGTCTATGAAGGGACAAAATCGACGGAGGAAAAGAACCAGTGAAATAGTTGTGATCAAGAAACAGAGTTTTGAGGTTGAGGAGTCCAGAAAGATCAGGAATGGATCCGGTAAGCGAGTTGTTCTGTAGACTCAAGACTCGGAGCTCATCAAGGCGGTTCAAGGTGTCGGCGACGAAAACCCCGCCGAGATCCAGGTCTTCCAGAATGAGACGCACCACTTTCTTCTCATAGCATGTTACTCCTTCCCATTCACAAAAGTGGGAGCTGCCATTTTGAGAGAAACCAAGGTGGTTTCTCAAATCGGCCTTAGACTTAAAACCCAGAAGCGCGTTGGCATCAGAAGACGGCGGCAAGTGCACGGCGGTGGCATGCGGAGAACGATCGGTAAGAGAAGAAACAACTACAGTACATATTGCGAGCCGAACGAGCAACTCCTGAAGAAGCATTGCCGGCGAAAGAGAACTGAATGTAGATGGCAGAAGAAGAAAGGCTTGCAGTAGTGTTTCCTTTGATTGGCGGATTTGATCAGTTTCATTCCATTAGTTGGGGATGGCGAGAACGCGGGCTGAGAGCGAGGGGACTCAGGGGAGAGTGATGGCGATGGATGCGGAAGCTACGTGACAAAGCATGGAATAGCTGAGAGGGCAGCTGTCGTACTAAAACACTCAGAATCACGTGAAGGGAGAGAGTAGAGATGGGCAAAATGTCATGACCTAGTAATAATTTTCTAATGTATTGTAATACATATGGAATGTCTGAGGGGGCTACTGTTTCTGTATAATATATATGAAGTACGCCCTTTAGACTATATAATTTAAATCGGTGGATAAAGTAGATTTTATTTTTTAATTGTATAATGAAAAGTAATTATTTTTTATATTGTATTTTATTTTATTCGTATATTATAAGATTTAAATTTAAAATCTTTTATTTTCAACGAAATAAGGTAATCATTGAATTATTTAAATCATTGACAGATAAAGTAAATTTTTTAATATTAAATAATTTATTGATTTGAATAGAGAGAATTCAATGTTTTTTTTTAATAAAATCTTAAATTTAAATATTATGAATAAAAAAAATTAAGAGAGTTTTTTTTATATAAGGTTGTTCTCTCTTTAAAATTTTATATTTTATAATTGAATATAATTTAAATTACAAAATAAAATTCTTATACTCGAAAGTGTTACAATTCAACTGTACAAAGCCTAACTAAATTAGTATGCAATTCATTTTTAGCTACGTTTTAAATTATTGTATGTGGACTTTATACCGCATGTATGGTTCATAGCTGTATAAAAGACATTGCCCCTGGATTCAGATTGGTAGTGATTCATGAATCCTCGCATCCTGATCATGGTGCTTTTGTTTTGTTTTGATTCTTTGATTTTTAAGGGAGGCAACACCTGTCACGGACTGTTGGGAGATACTTTTTGACCATTGGATCGTTTACATTGCCATGTGAGTTTACAGTTTTCCTAACCACTTTTGCCTTTTGTTATGGCTTTTTTAGAACAAACCTTGAAATTGCACTCGATTAAGAGCGAATTGCAGATGTTCTCTTTTACTGTCCAAAAAATTAAAAAGTCAGTTCCATCTATATATATATTGTTTGCACAAGTCATTAGGCTGGAATGTTTAACTATCTGATGTGCTATCCTCTTTGCCCCTTTTGAAATAAATTTAAAATGATAGGAGAAAAAAAAAAAAAAAAAGGGAACCAACGAGCGGGTTTTTTATTTTTTGTTCTTTAATTCTTTAAAGCACCTAATGTGCTGTGTTGCGTTTGATGTAATCTTAGCTCTAAGAATCTCCAATACCATGCCTCCTATGGAAGAAAGGTACTTTGAGAATGTCCATGATCACATATGATTTACAAGGAAATATGGCCATGCCGTCATTCAAATTAGAAATCTAATTCTCTACGCAAGAAAAATAATATAATATTATTTTCTAATTTATTTAACTTATAATTGACGTAAAGTGAACAACACTTTCATTTGGCAGAAGGTGCAATTCAGCCCCTCTAC